GAACTTTTCATGTACACCCAGACAAAATTGAGAGACATCCCTGATAACCACAGTTTCAGACCAACCAAGTTGGTGTCAGATAGTTGCCACCAACTTACCGACAACTTGCGGTCAACTTCCGAATTTGAAACTGTTGGCGTCAAGTTGGCTACAAGTTTCTGAGAAAAACAAGACCAATCTACTGCCGCAATATGTCGCCAAATTTCTCGAGAAACTTGTCGTCAACTTGGTGCGAAAGAGTTTCGAAAACAATTTTTGCCGACAACTTGGTGAACAACCGAGTTCATTTCCAAGACTTGCCGCCAACTTGGTGACAAGTTGCGGCAGCAAATCGACGGAAAGTTGCGACCGGTTTGGCTATCAGGGATTGTAAAAATAAAAGTCACATTCTAGCGTACCGACCGATAATTTTTAGTCTTAGTTACTATTGAGTGGCGCTTATTATTTCTCTGCTGGCAGTTTATTACGAAGCGGACCTAATGTTAATAAAATAACAACAACGCCATAAATAAATACTAATAAAAAATTATTTACATTTTCTGGACGTGAGCAAGATTTTAAGATTAATAAAAAGATAATTAATATAAAATTAATTTTTTTTGGCCTTGTGAAACTTCCTAAAATTTAAATATGTCATTATTTGCCTCCTATCCCTCAAAAGTTAAACTTATGGTGCGATAATAACAAAAAATATTGTATGTCATTCGGCCGTTTAGTGGCGATTTTGACAACGACTTTTTTCGATATTCGCTTTAATGTTTGTGACGCGAATGTTCGAAAACGAGCGTAAATTTTCGTCCTCGGCTACGCCTCGGACGTTAAAATTACGCCCGTTTCGGACCTTCCCGCCACAAACCTTACGCTCATATCGAAATATCGTCGCTGTCAGAAAACCGCCACTTCACGGCCTTATGACATAAATATCTATTTCCGTTTAAAACACGATAACGCGTAAAAATTCACGAATTCAATCAGTTTTTTTTTTTCTATTAGCTTGGCATTCCCTTTGCGGAGATCTCCATTGGAAATGGTCATCTTATTTAATATTAAACATATGTTGTTTATTTGTTATTAACGAAAAACTCAAATTACTGAAAAAAATCCACACTCAGTGCGCATGATCAGTTTAAAACACCGCGCGAAACTTGAAATTAAAAAATAATAAAAAAAGAAATTGTATTTAAAAGTATTGAAAAAAAAAAAAAAAAAAACGTATCAAACAAAAAAAATAGAAAATTGCAAAAGTAACGTTTAGATAAAAAAAAAATATAATAACATTTAAAATAAAATTTTTAAAAAATATTCTTTCAGAACATTAACTATTTTTTTTTTATTTATCGAACGAATGAGCATTATGAGTCGTGCACTTTTGGATTTGCCTAACTTTTTATATATTATTTTAAGCTCTCCGAGCTCAAAGAGATAGCTTTTCTAAGCTTTTGAACTCTTCGAGCTCAAAAGTTTGATAAAACACTATTTTTTGAATTTTCAAACCGCAATAACTTTTGAATGAATGAACGGATTTTCACGCGGTTGGTGGCATTCGACGCAGTTTTTTAAGCTTCATGAAGAATCTTCAAATTTAAATTGATAGAACGAAAAATTTCGGAGTAATTCCGAAAAAACACTTTTTTCAGTTATCTTTCGTAAGCGAAAATTCACGAGCAAATCAAACGATTTTGACCGGACGCGGCGATCGACGTGGTTATTTTATGTTAAGAGCTGATTAGTTTTTGGAATTGATCGGTAAAGCCGTTTGAAAGTTATTCTAAATAACCACATTTAGAAAAATTTTTTTTTGTAATTTTTTTGAGATTTCTCGAACTGTACCGGTCCAAATCGGTCCAAATTGTATTAAAAATCTAAAAGTCTATCAATATCTCGTGTTATATTTCCGTATTCTACAAGTAAAAACAAAGAAATGAAAAAAATATCGTTTTTGTATTTTTCCAAAAAAAATTTGTTTATTTTGAATCAGACTGATTGCAACATTTCGATTGTTTCTATAATTTGTAAAAATGAAAAAAAAATCATTGAAATCTTTCTAAATACTTTGTAAAAAATCGGGAGTAAATTTTAATCCTCATTCACTCCCATCATTCGGATTACTGGAGTGAATTAATTAAAAATTCCGCGTTCGTTGTAAATCCGGAGTTTTTTTCATTGAGTCCTTTCATTTACATGATTGCAGAAAATTTTACTTTTTATAGAATTCGTGAAATCTATTTACGAGGAGTTGAAAAATTTTAAGTACACAATGACGCACACCAAGTACGTTCCAAAATTGTTTCTTTTAATTTTTAAATTTACAACAAAATTTTTTTAAATTTCCGAAAATCATATACGATCACAACAGTTACTTAGATTTTTTTTTTATTTTATAACTTCGACATTTATTTTTGGATAGTTTTTGATGAAATGAAATAGTTATTAGAGCTCAAAAAACTACGTCGATCACCACCAAGAACGTGAAAATTGGTTGATTGGTTTGCGAGATATCGTTGACGAAAAATTTGGGAACAAGTGTTTTTTTAACATAACTCCGACATTTCTTTTCGGATCGTTTTTGACGTAATGATATAACTATACGAGCTCAAAAAACCACGTCGATATTATCCAAGAACGTCAAAATCGGTTGATTGATTCGTGAGTTATCATTGTAGAACAAATTCGGAAAAGTGAATTTTTCAAATTTCCCCAAAATTTTCGGTCTGATCAATTTGTGTTTGAATGTAAATTATAGGATTCACAAAACTGCGTCGAATGCTGCCAACCCCGTGAAAATCGGTTTATTCATTCAAAAGTAATTACAGTTTGAAAATTTTAAGAATAGTTTTTTATTATGAGCTCAATAGTTTTTTAACTTCTATGAGCTCAAAAGCATCGAACAGCTAACCCTTTGAGCTTGGAGAGCTCAAAATAACACATAAATTGTAATTTCGAACTCGAAGAGCTCAAAAATGTCACAGGTGCAATTCTAAGAGCTTAGGTATGGAATTAGCGGGAAGTTGCAGGGATGGCCTTCAGGATCAACCGTTTTCCTATAATTTTTTATAATAATTTCATAGCTACCCGGGTCAAAAAATTTAGTCTGTTTTATGATTAATAAAATTTTTTAATATTTTTCATTCAATTTAATTTTATTATGTGTATCTATTTTATATGAGAATTTAATCTGTTTTTGCCCGTACTATTCACAATTCAGACCAATTTCAGATCATTTTTAATGTTATAATAAAATTATTTTCTATTGTTTCAAGACCAAAATCAGACTTTATTTGTCACAATCATTTAGCTGGTTTTGACCGCATCAAGGTCAAAAACAGACCAAAACGTTCCATAATTTTTAGTCGGTTTTTCATCGCCTGTAGATAAAAAACCGACCTTTCACGAATTTGATAATAATAATAATAATAATAATAATAATAATAATAATAATAATAATAATAATAATATATTTATTTATTATTATTATTTTATTCATGTCCTCGAAGATCCTCTACAGAGCACGGCTTTTCATTCTCTGAAACTGAAATAGTGACAATTCACTATTTCGTAGTGCAATGTATACCAAAACGGTACTCTTCGCACTACCAAATAGTGGATACCGCTCATTAAATGATGCGTGAAAGTATAAAATTTAACATTAATCTTGTCAACATTTTAATCTTGTCTCGATGTATTCACACTGTGTTTATTAACGATAATTAGAAAACTCTAGATTAAGATCCATAATTAAACGATGAGAACTATTTTATAAACGTATATTAATACAAATTTATTAGTTATCACTGCAACTAATATATTCGCAGTTACAAAACTTTCATAATCCACGAAATGTTGAGCTATGACAAATAAATATGACAGATATAAGGTTATAATCGACGTTCAGTTTATAAAACAAAAGAGCGCATGAATATATTATAAATTAATTCATTTTTTTAAATAAATGCGACTTATAATTTATAATGAGATACTTTTAAGTCCAAAAAAATTATAAGTCACCATCTTAGGCGACTTTTGGCCTTCGAACATTTAGAATGAAAATTGTAGATCAAAAACAGTATAAAATTTAGTTTAGTTTAGTTTAGTTTAGTTTATTTAAAAATTATGCCAAGGCAATTGCCAAATGGCAAAGAGTACATATACATACAGTTTTTACATTATTGTGCAGTTTAACTTATAAATATTTAGAATGTTTTATAAAATAATATTTTTAGATAAATGATAGTGACATATAATACTATATAAGTATAAAAAATTTTAATTTATAATGAATTAACTAACAAATTTTAATAATCATTTATGTTACTATAAATACAGGTATGAAACTTTAAATTATAAAGTCCATCTACAAATTAACTAGACTAAAAACCGATCAAACTTTTAAAACTTTTTAGTTTCATTAGATTAGAAACAGCATAAAATATTCATAGCTGCTCAATTATTTTACTAAAAAGTTATTTAGACTTAAAACAGATCAAAAATAATGTGAATAGTAGATCAAATACAGATGAAAATGTTTTTAAAAGTTCAAATACAGATTAATAAGTTCAAATGCAGATCATTTAGCTTAAAATCAGTTTAAATTTTTCGACCCGGGTATTAAATTATGAAAAAATTTACAACGTCAGTCAAGTTCATTGTTTTTAAATATTACTTAATTTTTTCTGCTGTTGCAAAAAAAAAATATTTAAAACCCAATTAGTTAGCCTACGTCAAATTAGTCTGAAAATCAAGAAATTTATTAGATTCAGCCATTAAAAACTGTGATTAGTTTACAAGTCCTTAGGAATTGAAGGTTTAATTTGCATGCCAATTAAATCACCTTCAGCAATGTCAGTGTAATTGAATCTGCTATTGCAGTAGCAGCCGCAGTTGTGACAGCAGCCGCCACTGTTACAGCAGCTTCCACTGCAACTACAAGTACAACCGGTATCACAAGAACAAATAACAAAACATTTTTAGTCGGTATTTCTTTTTTCATAAAATTTTACTTCAACTTCTGATTGTTGATGGACTATTTTATTTTGTCTAGAACCAAAGCTTGATAGATCTTGGTAAAAATGGGAACCATTCACAGAGTTTTCCTTATTAATATATCAACTTTGATGATGGAGGTGTGCTCAGGATTTGTATCTTGTTCAATTACACGTTCATGAGACAATCCCACATGAGAATATACCTAAAAAAATAAGAATGTTGAATTAAATTCAAGATATAATTTAAAAGGTAATTAATTAAAAAAACTTACTGATTGGGTATAGTAATTGCCAATGCAAAAACAAAAATAGCCGTAGCTCCCATTCTTCTTCTTAGCTCTTTAAATTCTGAGAGAAAATCCAGTACTATAAGAAATTCGTAAATTTCCGGTCTCTTTATACTACCTCTAAGTAATAAAGTTTTTTGTTTTTCAATGGAAAAATACCAAGTTAAACTTATTTTTATGCGATCTATTAACAATCGCCATCTCACTTTTATTATTGCGCTGATTTATCAAAAAAAGGAAGATAGATATTAGATTGTTATGTCCCATATTTATTTATTTATTTATTTATTGAAGAAATTCGGCCCTAGAACTGACGTTCCTTAAAGGCCGTAGAAATTTAATAGTATTACATAGTGAGGAAGTACTTTGAATACAAAATTAGAAAGTAATTTGAATACAAAATTAAAAAAGAATTTGAATACAAAATTGAAAAGTAGTTTGAATACAAAATTTTGAATAACATTTTAATCACATAAGTAAATAAACAATTATTATTATTAGACATTCAGTAATAAGACAACAACGCCATCTTTTTCGTTGATAACGAAACGTTTTCGGCGATACTTACGGTAAAGGGATCATCTGAGTGATCCGAACGGAAATGTAGCCAATGTAATAATTGTAAAGGAATTCAAAAAGTAACTTGCTTTCTTACAATTTATATACATTTAACACTTCATATAGAACACTTAATAGAGGTCAAATAATAGTAAATCCTACGTAATAAAATACACACATTAAAACATTTAAATATCATATTTGTGAAAAAATTTAACTGTATATAAGCAATGAAACTTCACAAAACAACGACAATTGATCTGTCTTCTAAGTCATAAGTGTCGGTAAGGTAAGTTTTGTTAGATAACTGGCGGTAGAGTCAATTCAAATTATATAGTTAAATTTAAACACAGCCTTTTATTTATTTATTTATTTATTGAAGAAATTCGGCCCTAGAACTGACGTTCCTTAAAGGCCGTAGAAATTTAATAGTATTACATAGTGAGTAAGTACTTTGAATACAAAATTAGAAAGTAATTTGAATACATAATTAAAAGGTAATTTGAATACAGAATTGAAAAGTAGTTTAAATACAAAATTAGACAGCATTTTGAATAAAATTTTAATCATATAAGTAAATAAACAGTTATTATTATTGACTCTCCAGTTCAAATGTCTTTATCAAAAATTAATTTGTAACACAACGTCTGAAACTCAGCTGAAGAATTCACGGCCACAAGATCACTCGGTAACTGATTCCATTCCCTCACTGCAGTTAACAAGAATGAGTTTTCATAGGCAACAGTCCTACAGGCAGGCTGATGCAGAACTTGATTTCTACGCTCAGCACGGCCCCTGACATCAAGCAATATTTTGAAGTTCGAATGCAACAACTTGTGATGCTGCATATTCAACATTTTATACACCAGACTCAAAATTAGAAACTCACGCCTACTTCGGAGCGTCAACCATCCAAGTCTCCTCCTGTAAGGTGCTATGTGCTCAAACCGCCTAGCTCCAAATATGAACCTGATGCAAGCATTAAACTTCCGCTGGAGCCTAAGTTGCAAAGTCCCAGAAATATTTGTAAATACAGCACTGCAATAATCAAATATAGGCAATATCAGAGCAGCAACTAGCCTTCTCCGCATTGAGGCACATAACACCTTACTGTTCATTTTCAATCGAGCAAGACAACCCATCGCTTGTTGGCTAGTAGTTATCACTTGGTCATGCCAAGACAAAGTACTGTCCAAGAGAACACCAAGATACTTGACAGTGGTGACATAGACAACAGGCACTCCATTTACGAGCACACTAGGTGGATTTTGACAAATTGAACTGCTAACATGCTGCCGACTGCCGAAAATAGCAGCTTTTGTTTTAGCCTCATTAAGTTTGAGCCGGTTGTGACGGCACCAATCTTCAATTTGCACTATCGTAGGATTGAGCCCATCCACTGCCTGCCCAATTCCTTCCATTTTGCAAATAACATAGACCACTAGATCATCAGCATAAAATATATGCTTACAGTTTATCACAGAACCAAGCTCCGAAACAAACAGTGCATACAGCAGCGGGCCAAGTACACTCCCTTGAGGCACTCCACTAGTCATCTTTTTTCATGACGAGACGTTATCCTCATTTTTTACCGCCTGACGCCTGCACGTCAGATACGAATGAAACCACCTTAGTGCCCTCTCTGAAAGATTCAGTTCTCGTAGCTTCATCAGTAGCAGCAAATGATCTACACTATCAAATGCTTTTGTAAAGTCAAAAAATACTGCAACAGTAATCAACCGCTCATCAATTCCAGCACGTATGTCATCACATAGCCGAAGTAATGCCGTTTGCGTACTCATTCCTTCACGAAACCCAGTTTGACAAGGATCTAATAAGTTATTAGCCGTAACATAGCAGACTAATTGTTCATAGACACAGCGCTCAAGCACCTTCGATAACGAACACAAAATGGAGATTGGTCTGTAGTCACAGAAATGCTCTGGCGACTTCGCCTTTGGTATTGGGATAACAAATGTATCTTTCCACTGCTTCGGAAACTCTGAGGACACCAATGACGCATTGAACAAGTCTACGATCGACCGCAAACAAAATGGCAATAATAGCTTATAGTACCCAATTGGAATCCCATCTGGCCCAACCGCACCTGTGCTAATGCGTTTTAAGTTCTTTTCAACATCACTAAGAGTAATCTCAACAAAAGTAAACTGCTGATCACCATCGTCACACATGCACGCCGCCAGAAGCAAATCATCATTTACACAACTGCCACCAATTGACACAAAATAATCATTGAGTCCTTCAACATCAAGATTTAACGGATTTACAGATGACCTAGTTTTGAGAAGCCCAAGCCGCCTGAAATCATTCCAAATTGCCTTTGGACTCCCATGAAGTTCTATCCTTGATTTTAAATAATCCTTCTTTGCAGCCAAAATCCTTTGTTTAACTAAACGACGTACATTGGAATACTCAGCATACGCATACCCAGTTCTTTTGAAAATTCTATATAACTTATCCCTTCTGCTTTGAAGACCACGTATGTCGTCATTAAGCCACGGAGCGGGCAACCTAGAAACCTTGATTGTACGCTCAAGAGCAATTGCGTCCAAAACTCGACGAATACCACCGTTCAAAGTAGTAACCGACTCATCCAATGTAATATAACGATCAAACACCGGTAGCTCAGTTTGCAACACTTGGGCCTCAACGGCTTCCGGGGTAATTAGCTTCCAACTGCGACACGTAATTGTCTTTGCCTGCTGTTTTGCCATAGTAAAATTCACATTCACCGATATCACGTCATGTCCAGACAAAAAAGGCACATCTGACTGAGCTGAGGAAATAACCGCTGCCTGATCACTAACAATGCAATGATCAATCCACGTATCCGACGTCACAGTATGATGTGTAGCCGCATAGGGAACCAGAAACAGATCATGCATGTTGCAGAAGTCCCTCAGACACTTGGACTCATAAGAGTCCGTCAACATGTTAATATTTAGATCACCAATAATCACAATGTTGTTGTAAAAAGGTAGCAGCCGTTGTCCCATAGACTCATTAATGATTTCAGTTAAACGAAAAAAATAAAAGTTGTTATCTATAGTTAATTAAACAATTAAAAAATTATATAAAGTATAAATTGGAAAAACCAAGACTAATTATTATAAAAAATAAAATATACAGTGTTTTTTTAGCTGTCAATTTATTTATTTTCAAAAACAGATTATTCGATATTTGCATACATAATGGATAATTCAGAAAGTCTAAAGAAGAATATCTACAGATTCGGTAGAATCTGGCGCCCAAGTACCGTTCAAAACTCATATGGGACGGGTGCGCCAGACTACCGAGTATGTATACCGTAAGTAGAACTGTTTTTTTGAGGCTATTGAATTTTATTTCATTTATAATTATAATTTTTATTATATTTCTTTCGACATTATTTCAAAGCTTCTGATTATTTGTTAATCAATCGCTAATAACTGATTTTATTACGAATTCTTTACGAAATTTTCGATAATATGCAGCATATACTATAGCAACTTGGTGTACGTCAGTAGTGTACTTGAAATTTTTTCAAGTCCTCGGAGATAGATTTCACGAGTTTCATAAAAAGTTAAATATTCTGCAACCATGAACACGAAGTACGTTCCAAAATTATTTCTTTTAATTTTTAAACTTACAGCAAAATTATTTAAATTTTCGAAAATCATATACAATCATATCGGTTACTTGGATTTTTTTTTATTTTATATCTTTTTGTAAAAGAAAAAAAAAATTTTTTTTAATAGTCTTGTGAACGTAGGCTTGGCGCGATTTTTTTTACAGTGAAACTGTTATTATTCGGATCAAAATTATCGCACGTATGATATCGACAAGTTGTATCAAAAGATTCATTTGCAATTTGTTTGTTGTAGCCTAGTTTGTTCATAGCAATAATACGATTTTGATGAACCAGTAGTTCTCTGTAACTGGTTTCTAAAATCCTTATTTTTTAGAAATACATGCTTTACGTTAACAGCATGGGTCAAAATATTTTTTGAAATAGTTTTAACTTGAGATACTTCATGAGAACCATCTTCCCAATTTATGCCGTGCTTTCTGTAATAAGTTCAGTTGCAATCGTTGAAAGCGGTTTGAAAACCGTGATAAATTTTTGAAAACTCGGCTACTAACGATTGTTCTGTCATAACTTAAGTTATGATAGACGATTTCACGATTTTTCCGTTTTTAGCAGAGACGGCCTTCAGGATTAACCGTTTTCCAAATTTTTTTTTAGAAATGTACGATAAGATGTAATATTCTCACTACTTAAGGTGGAAAAGAGTTGTGTTAGAGGTTTGGTGATTATTAGGAAATACGAAATATCTCTATTAACTGATGTATATATATAATTAATTCTTTTATTATGGATTTACACTGAAAAAAAAGTTTTTTTCCACCCAGAATACAAAGTATTTTTATGCAAGTTTTTTTATATCCAATGAACGTTTTCTTGATACAAAAAAACTGGTAATTTTCTCCTGAGAATACCTAATTTTTTTCTGGAGCTAAAACTTTATACTGCGTTACCATAGCAACCGCAGCGGTGGC